TCCTCCCTTCCTCCCTTCCTCCCTTCCTCCCTTCCTCCCTTCCTTCCTTCCTTCCTTCCTTCCTTCCTTCCTTCCTTCCTTCCTTCCTTCCTTCTTTTATCTTTCCTACTAACATTTATTAACTATCTGCTGGGTGTAAGAAAGAGTACAAGTTGCTGAAGTTACAGCATATATAAATGCTTGGTGTTTTAAAATTTTTGTGAGTCATAGGTGATGTGGAAATTAAGAAGCCAAACTTTCAGAATTGATCTTGGTTTTAAATGACTGTACTTAATTTCATTTGCTTTGTTGGAGTTTCACTGCCTTTAAAAATTCTGATGACATAATTAAGTGTAATACAATATATTCCTGGTTTGCTAATCTTAGACCTTAATATGTTGCTGAACGATTACATGCCTAAACATCAGTGAAGATGATTCTATTCTTAATTAACAGAAAATTTCACTTCCTTCTTTGACAGTAATTCAGTGTGTCAAAAGATGACTGTCTCTTCTCTCTTATTTGGATGCCAACATATCCATCAGCCAAATGTTTGAAGTCAAGGTGGGATCTACATTGTAATAGATCACTGGCTCTGAGGGACTTAGGATGAATGCTGGCAAAATCAACGGACAATTTCTGAGTGGGTTATGACCAATAAAGAATTTGAGGAATGCAAACAAACAGAAGCACATGTCTGTTAAGAAACAGGAACAGTCACTCCAGTTAATCTTTAGTTAATTTATGGCTTTAAAAGATCTTGAGTGAATACTTACTAGAACAGTAGCTAAAGGAGCTGGTCACAGAAAATTCAAAGTGACAGTAGAGAAAAATTATTGTTAGTGCAGAGATTTACGTGAAAGATAGAAAATATTTTCCTAATATAGGTAGACTAACAGATTTAAGTTCAGTCATGCAGCAACATATTTAAAATCTGCTTTCCTATTGTGTTACACTCATTTCCACTAAAATAGAACAGTAATGATAGTTTCTTTGGGCCTATGGAAAGTATGTACTTCTTCTAGACTATTCAGAAGGAGGTGATATGGTTTCTGGGGTAATGCCACCTTGAATATTTATCAAGCTTTAGAGTTTACAGATTACCTTAAAAATTTCTGTGGAAATATTGTGTAGAATATCAATAATGCCACTGAGCTCTGAGAGAAAATGTATTCTTTTGGATTGAAGTCTAGCATGATGAAATATAATTGACAATAGAGCTTTTAGACTGAAGAAAAGTTATTCTCTGACTTGTGCAGCATGGATGCTGCAAGAAACCCACATCACATAGATCTGTAAACTTTCTGAAAGTTGGCAACAACTTTGCCCTGAACTTCCAAGTAGCAAAAGTTGTAAAAAGAAGAAATCAGGTGAAACATTTACAATGTCCATAAAGTATAATCATGATAATTTCTTGAGAAAAGTAGCTTTTTTTTTTCTTTTTCCCCCACTGAGAGCCGTGGGAAAATTTCCCACTGTTTTTAAGCAGGAGGTGTATTTTTCTATGGTAAATGTGAAAGTGGTCTTTACAGTATAACCCGGATGTCCCCAATTTGTGAATGTAAACAACTATTCAATCGCCCTTTAATCAGAATTTTGCTAGATTGATAACCTCATCCATGTAACCACATAAATTCAGTTCCCCTTTCAAAATCTCTTTTGGGGAATATTCCTGGATTCATCTCAATTCTCAAAATATATTTTCTTAGCCATAATATTATTTTTTACAAAAAAAATCTAGTCATATATAAATTATCTCCGTAAAGTACCTCAAGTACTTAAAAAATGTTAAACAATTAGTGTAATACATTTATTATATGGTGAACTGTGGTATATTTATTTTCTCATTTAATATACAAAATAACTGCAACATGTTAATGTCTTAGTTATTTAAATAAAGAAAGAACATCAGAGAGGGGCAGAATTAGTAGTAAGATCATGTCTGGCTTGTTTAATAAACTTTTTCCTAAAATTATATACGGTCTACTGGTAAGAATTTGTTACTTAAAAATGATGAAGGACTCTAAAAATGAAGTCTATTAAAAATAATGAGGGATTACCTAAAAGTTAGCACAAATGCCTTAAATAACAGCTTTATATTTAAGAGGAAACAGTGTACTGTTACCTGAAATGGAAATGAAAAGGTTCCAGTTCCAGAATTGACTTTGCCATCTGTTACTAATATGGAATTGGAAATGTTCACTCATCACTTGGAGCTTTATTTTCTTCCTTTGTAAAATGACAAAGTTAAATTGAATAGCTCCCTAGCATCCCCATTACAAGCAGATCTAGGTTTGGAGAGACCTGAAGCTTATATAATTTGGGCACTGACTACAAGGAAAACAATACAACTTCATGATTAGAAAACTCTTACAACTGCTGCAAGGCCACCTTA